GTTAATTAAGATAAATTCCTCTTTCTTTTAGAGTAATTACAGCAGATTTCTGTATTGGCGAATTTTCATGGTGACATGCACGACTTTCTCCATTTTCCATTCATTGAAACCTAATGTGTTGTCGAATTATGATCGTTCTTTAGTGTTAATCACAAAACACGATTCACGAAAAATAATCCCTTTTTTAAAGCAAACCATCCATTTCCTTCCACGAAATTCTCAATTTTTATATTTCCGTTCAAAGAGAGATTTAGACAAATAACTCGTTTGATCTTTGCATATGTTTCAGCTGTTAGTGAAATCTAATCCTGTTTTGGTCAAATCCATTTTTTGCTATTAGATCTCTTGTACCATCATTGATTATCCACAATGTGGGATCCTTATTTAATGAGGTTGATAATGTTGGCTCTTTAAATTCTTTTAAAGATGGACTTTCAACATCAAATCTATCAGGTTCTATCTAAAAGTGAGAACTTACTTGTATTGCAGTAGGTTCTGATAACAACATGGCTATTTTGGAACAACTCGTTTCAGCGAAAACGTTGTCGTTCCCAACAGAACCATCACAAACAGCTTGATCACTTTCAGGTTCCCCTTCATGTCCTTTATCGTTCTTTTCGTACACTAGCAAACTATTAGTTTTAAAAAAATCAGTTGTTTTTTTTTGTTTCAAAACACGTTCTTGATCTTGAAGTTTGTTTTGATCGTTTTATGTATTCAGCGTCTGTGAGTCTCTTCCTACCGTCACTCATAGTAGTTTGTAGAGAGTAACCTACTTATTCAAAACTACGTTCTGTAATGTAATGCTCTAAAATAGTAGGTACAATCGTAACAACATAATCACGCCTCGCTCAACACAATAACATCATCGTTCCCGTTGTGCACACCGATAGACATAAGTGACAGTGACTGACTAGACCAACACTAGACTATTGACAGCGGGGCGTCACTAGACCTTCGCCTTCAGTGTTGTCTGATCGAATCGCTGCGCTTGCGCCTTCCGTCATGCCGTGTTGTCAAACCAAACTAGATTACACTATAAGAAAGTTAGATCGCAAGATTACGTGCTGTTAATTTGTATTATGTTACATTTTTAGAACGTATGTAGAAAGTCTAAAACATGTGCTCTTAAATTCGTACAGAAAATATTGTTAACGTCTGAAATATCCTTTGTTAACTTTTGAATAATTGCGAAATTGCCGTTCCTAAAATTTTGCCGCTCTATGCTGCAGTCTACTCAGCCTATTTAGAAATTCGAACTTGACAACACTAACTTTGAATACCATGTAGGTTTTACATGGTGTTCTACCAGCTGGCGAAGTGTTGAGAATTTTTCGCTTCCAACACCGGATGTCCCGCGACAGGAGAGCTGTCTTCCCACAGACGCCTGACATCGACATCTCAGGGTTTCGCTAGTCTGTGAGCGTGAAGGACACGGAGGACAAAGTTATTTTTCCTACTGTTGTGTTACGAGTAATACGAAAGACAGGATTTTGGCATGGGGTTTCAACCTTTCTTCAGATCTTATGTACCACCTATAAGCCTGAAGAAAATTAGCATACCGCTTGAAGGAAAATAACTCAAAATATTTTTAATAGATGGCTTAATATTATAAATATTTTTTATAATAAAAGATATTTTACATCGACATAAACGTTCAATATTGCTAATTTTCATTCAGCTAATTTTTCAAGTTATTTTACACACCCACACTTCTTTTTTACTTTTTTAATGTAAAATAAAGAGAAAATGTCCATTCAGAAAGATGAGATGACATGGATGGTATCAGATACGGCAAGGCATTGTGCGGACAGTGCAGAATATTCATTTCGAACATTCAGCATAAAAATTCGCCACGTCCTTGCATTTGAAAGAATATTTGAACACATAATTACTGGTTGAATGACTTTAGCGTTATTATTGTTAACTGTAAAATTTCTATTTCATTTTTAGATATGTTTATGCGCATTTCATTGTTTTTAATACGTAAAAATAAAAAATACTCAATTTTTCCTACCACATCGCCTGGTAAGAATCGCTGAGAAGTATCCAAGATCACTGAACGACATGAGATGTTCGTTCTGAGCGCAATGAATATTTATTACCGTCTAAGTCAAGAACCATGGTTCTTACAGAAATGTGGTTGGTCTCATATCAAAATTTGGACTTTCTGTGTCATTTCATTCGCGGTTGCGGCTTGCTCCATGGTAATATATCATCTTAAAATGCAGTGGCCGACGGTGGGTTCAAAACTTGGGGTGTCCCAGGCAAATTCAGGCAGGTAATCATAATGTGAAATTGAAAGTCAATCACCCTTAGTTTATTGGTAAACTGTTATTGGCAACTTTACAAATAAAAAAAATAGAATTAATATTTCTCTTCTTTTTGGACCACTTCTCGAAAACGGCACTTCCAATAAAGATTTTATTGCGTCTACTGAAATATTGGGTCTGACACACATTACATTTGCAATTGATCCATACACGGTTGTGATCCGTCGCATCCACAGAGCACCCACTATCTATGACCTCAATAAGCCTTCACAGGAGGGGGCCAGGCGCGCGAGAGTCTCCGTGCCAAACCAACTCCAAAGCTGGACAAGATGAAACTACTGCTTTATTACTGGTTGACGAGCGTTGTCATGGCAACAGTGAGGCGCCCGTTAACGCCGGTATCGTACAGGCCAAAGTAGTGGTGGTGCTACCTATGTGTAACGCATAGAACTGCTTGGCTCCGTCTTGTAACGCTGTCGCAATGTTTGCAGCTAGAGAAAAGACTTCTTTTTAAATGTTTATTCACCGGCCGTAAATACTTTTGTCAATTTTAGACAAAGTTAATTCTAACTACTTTTACGTTCAAAAAATATGTATCTTTTGATGTTGTTAATCAATTTTGTGGGGAGTCCTGGCCTCACCTGAAAATCCGCCAGTTAGAATAAAGAAAGATCCCTACAGATCTATGTGCTACTAACTCTAATACTTCTTGGGAGTAACAGTTTTTGCAAATAGTAAAATGCGTATCAGTACTTGCTCAGAACAAATTTAGTATGTATCTTGTCTACTATGCTGTGTGCTCCTCATGGACATGTCAGAAATAGTCATTGAAAAGTATTTTATTTAGCGATCACGTAATATTGAAATCATTTTCTCGCAATTCACGACATTCCCAAAGAATCCTTTTCCACGCGACACCTGTGTGCCAGACCAACTACTTGGAAGGGCTCCAAGATTCTGCCCAATGAGAAAGCACATTTTGGTGTTGGAGTAGATAGTACAGACAGTATATTTGTATATACTTTGCTTTATTTTACAGTTTATACTTTGTTACGATTTAGACATATGCCATGGACACGCACCGTGACAAAACAGTGCCAGAGCTTCAAAAAAAAACATATCCGAAATGTAATTTAAAAAGTTAAATGAAAAACTCTTTCTGCCATTGAATTTGGTTCTCTTCACACTAAGAAAATCAAAATTTGTAAATTTTCCAATTTCGAAAATTCTGAGATTTTAGTGAAAATCAAACTTGCACAATTTTAATAAGAGACGATCCATCCACAAAGCTTTGAACCGTTTTTCCAGAAAAATTTGAGAATGGTGTGGAACTTCATGTAACGCTCAAAATTACGTATTTATTTCAAATTCAAGAAGCAACAATAGCCAGGTTGATCAGAGAATATCAATTTTGATGAAAATCCTGGGTGCAGTATAGGCCCTAGTGTTGTACATACACATACACACTTCCCAGAAGGAACTAACATTATAGGCTTCGCAAACGACACTGCCATCGTCGTCGTCGCAAAATGCAACGCCGTCATCGCAATTAGCAAATAGCAAAGAAGCCATTGCCACCGCCAGTCGTTGGCTGGATTCCGCAGGATTGCAGCTTGCTAAAAATAAAACAGAAGTGCTGCTTGTAACTAGCAGAAAGGAGAGAGAATCCATCATTGTCAAAGTCAGTCATCACAAAATTTCATCACGACCTGCAATAATATACCTGGCATCATGATTGACACGCGCTTGTCCCTTAGAGACCACGTGGACTATGCCAGCAAAAAAAGCGGCGGTGATGGATGCTGCGTTGACCAGGTTAATGTCGAACACTGGAGTGCCTAGTCATGAAAAAAAGCTGCTAGTCTCGGTTATCACGTCGGTTCTGCTCTATCGTTCACTAGTTTGAGAGAACTCAACAAATGCGAAGAGTTGTAGAGCCATGGCTTCATTATATCGGCTATCTGCGCCGACGGTTGCATTAGCATTCCGCACTGTCTCTAATGAAGCAGTTTGCGTCATAGCCGGGATGATCCCAGTAGATATAATGGACCACGAACGGCAGAGGCGTTACGACAAGAGATACGTGAAGCAGAACTGCCCGGAACAAGTAGCAGAGTGGTAACAGCGACGGGACACGTCCTCAAAGGACGATGGACAGACCGACCGATTCCTTCAGTTGAATCGTGAATCAGTCGAAAGCACGGCGGGGTAAATTTTTACCTCACGCAGCTTCTAGCGGGGCAAGGTTGCATCAGAGCCAACCTTCACAAGTCCAAAACGGATGATTCTCCACATTGCCCTGTGTGCGAACCTGATGTCAAGGCCGAACACATGTTTTTTCTGTGTCCATGTTTTGCACCTCGACGACGAGGCACTGCTGAGATACTTGATACAGGCCATTTGACTCCAGAAAACGTAGTTGCATGTATGCTTATTTCTGAAAGTAATTGGAGTTCGGTGTTAAAATTTTCACAAGACTCATTGCTGGAATTGTGTGAGAGGGGAAAGGAAAGAGGAATATATCTGATCCCTCACTTGACTAACTTCTTGTGACTGGGTCACTATTCCATTCTCCGCGATGTAACGCTGCAGTAGTTGGTTCCGAAGAGAGGATGGAGGAGAAGGAAGGTTCAGTTTTAAAGAGTTAAAATCTCACATGCTCCAGGTTTTTGAAGATTTCCACATACCCTCGTAAAACAAACAAACACCCACATGGGGAAAAAACACTTTTTTTGGTCTCAATATCAAAACATGAGTTCTGACTATATGTCTTCAAGAAAGAAATTTATTTATACAGGAACAATAAATATCCACTTACTCAGTATCACAGACCCACAAAAATAGTTCTTTGATGAAAACTCACCAATTTTTCCTGTTTATTACACAATTCTCTTTCTACAAAGTACTTAAGAGCAAATAAACAAATTCTCTCTGTAAACTTTATGTAGAGCATAAAAAAATTGTAATTTTCGCAATTTTTAAAAACATGCATTTACATCAAATGTCAACAACAATTTCTTGCAGCATTATCTTCAATACTTAATATGTGTACACATAAGTGACTAATTACGAGAAGAAAGAAACTAAGAGAAAAAAATCTTCATTATTTAAAGAATAAATTATAATTTATTAATTGAAGTTGAAATAGAAAGTTCGAATTTGGTTTACTCGTCTTGTCGAATAAGATGCAGCTCTGTGATGTCCTGAACATAAAAAACAATTGTGCTTTCAATATATGTCCCTTTCAATAATTTAATAAATTAAAAAGTTACATTACTGGAAATACGAATAAAAAAACTAATATTATTTACCATTTATTTTTCTTCCTTTCACATTTCTTCCAATATCTGAAAAATGAAAACATTATTTGTTATATAAATCTCTTTCTATTTAATGTTAGATAACTATTGTAAATTTACTTTCTTTAATTATATTCTTCCCAAAATTACTTTTTGTGCAATAAGATATTTACAATAAAAACATTTACAGTGTTTTATTTAGTATTGATATAACTACAGAAAGCATGACAAACGTTGCTCTTAATGCCTACTTTTCAATATTTCTCTTTTCCCATTCAAACTCAACCGAATAGAAAATATATTTTCAACAATAAAATTAAAGATTTAGTTTTTTCTTGCATATTTAAATCAGTCACTCATAACTATATTAAATTAATATGAAAACATTTCTTATTATAAATATATTGCCTTACAACAATTCAAATATAATAGCGACACTGAATATTGATAATACTTACCTTCTGATAATGGTAATAAAGGTATTTATTGTCAATATTCAAATATTTCAAATGACAACCTTACATTGTCTTGCTATATTCAATACATACAATTCACTGCATTATGCGGTCGGCCCCTTCTGTCCTCTTGATGCGGTTGCTGTGGCTGCTCCTGCAAATGCTGCTGTTGTTCCACATTCAGCTGTTGCTGCTGCTGCTGCAGCAGTTCCATCTTAAACTGTTGCTGTTGCTGCCGCTGCAGCAGTTCCACATGCTTCTCCAGCAGCTTCAACTGTTTCTCCTGCAGGTCCAATTGTTTGAGCCACAGTTCCTTCTGTTGCTGCAGAAGCTGTTGCTGTTCTTGACGCAGCTGATTAATCTGCTCACCATTTATTTCTTGAGTAGAATCCATCTTTGAAACAAATACCACCATAATATGATTTTTTTTAAATTGAAAGATTATTTACTTTGTAAAACAAAACAAGATATATGTTCATTAAAACAAGACACTCGGAATACAAAAAACAATATAATTATTGCAAAGTGTAGTTAATGAACATTTTATGTAGATTATACAGAATACACCATTTAAAAAATGTCATTATAAAACAAATCATTGAGTGAAAATGCAATGATTTGTTTCTTGTACTATCTTGTTTTATTTATATATCAGTTAATTACTTTGAAACAAAATTTTATTCTCACTCAACAGTTTTCTACTTTGGTTACTGGATTTCTACTGTCTTCTTTCTATAACTTCTAACTCTGTAAAAAAGAAAGAAAAAGTTTTACAAAAAACTGACAACTCATCTCTATTAATTGTCATCAATACGGAAACAGGGAAAAAGAAAGAAGGAACTCCAGGAAATGGGAAAGAAATAAAAGGAAACAAAATTTAAACAAACATTTGCAATATTATATCTACAATATTCTGTGCATAGGTGTGTAAGGAGTCCAATCCAAAAATTGTATCCAGGAGTAAATATCATAATTGCAAAGAATACAAATCTGCAACCATTTTCCTTCAATTCTCTTCATCACAATTTTTTCAACAAAATTAACAGCCACGAAATGAAAAGAAGCTAATAATAATGTAGCCACATTAATCAATTGTTAATTTTTTTAATTTAATATTATTTACACAAAGAGGTAACTATATACAGTAACAATTCATGAAGATAATATTTTTTCAAATCATTACAAATAGTGAAGTGCTTGAAATTTATTTGCAGTTGTTGTTATTTTTAATCTCAGGAAATATTTCACTTTGTGCACAAGAGAACTAATATTTTAAAAAAACATTTCATTTCATACCACTTTTTCTAAATTAATCCAACGTTAATGCAATTACACTGCTTCTTCCGGTCAATTTTTTTAGTATTGTAGAAAGGCGTACATTTTTTGCATGAAAATATTACTTAAAAATGTTTATTTGATTACGCTGATATTCTTTTTTAAATATACAATTCAAAACTTATTCTATTTCTATTAAATAATTAATTATAGTGTACCTTACATACAAACAGACCACCGAATGCTATGCAAAAACAATGGCGAATAACAGAATAAAGAACTATTTTTCATAATCTCCGCATCGTAGGGTATATTTCTAAATCGTAATCGAATATACAGAAACCCCGCTTCTCATTGGGCAAAATCTTGGAGCACTTCCGAGTAGTTAACCTGGTGCACACTAGGTGTCGCGCGTAAAACGATTTCTTCGAGAATATGATCTTGTACATATGATATGATCACGGTCATGGCGTGCAATCTCTTCCATCGTGATTTGATCACTACATAAATTACGTTTAATGGCCATTTTACTAACCAATTGAACGAGAAGCGCACATCATAACAGACAGGCTACATCCAAATTTATACTGAGCAAATACATTTAAAATGCAATCTCAATACATATGGAATAAATTCCGTATGTTAGGAATGCAACAAAAATGACGAACTATAATAGCAGGTTACGCAATTAGTTTATAATGTTAAGCTTTATTGCATGAGTTCATGTTTTGAAAACGAGCGACATAAGGAGCGAGATTTCAAATACGGAGGAATGCAATAAAGCAACATTATAAACGCGTTCCATTAGCTACTTTTTGTATTACGGCATTACAGATTTATAAGATAAACTTAATTTTGCAAAACACCTTCCTTCTGACGTCACGGGCATAAGACAATTGACATTGGGCGCGGTCGACTGCTTCGTTTATCTCTACTGCCTTACGATTCTCTCGCTGCGTTTGGCTGAATGTGTGGAGACGCAATCATCCGTGTTGTAAAATGCTAATAAGTCATCATTTGTACCGTAATATGTCCGATTATGAACGTTTTCTTGCAACCGAAAAGGTCGTATATAATACAAAAAACAAATTTACTGCTTTCGTGTGTATAATTTTTGGTAATATGACTACTCTGCGGTTGTAGTAGTGGTGGCGGTAGCGGCGGTAATAGTGTTAGTAGAATTAATAGTAGTAGTAGCAGCAGCAGCAGCAGCAGTAGTAGTAGTAGTAGTAGTAGTAGTAGTAGTAGTGGTAGTAGGTCGTGGTCGCGATCGTGGTAGTGGTGGTAGTATTAGTGGTAGTAGTAGTAGTAGTAGTAGTAGTAGTAGTAGTAGTAGTAGTAGTAGTAGTAGTAGTAGTACAAGTAGTAGTAGTACAAGTAGTAGTAGTAGTACAAGTAGTAGTAGTAGTAGTAGTCGTAGCAGTAGTAGTAATAGCAGTAGTAGTATTAGTAGAGATGCCGCGTTGGTGGAGATACTTGGCGGCGGTGACGGAGGTGATGGTAGTGGTAGTAGTAGTGGTGGTGCTGGTAGTAGTAGTAGTAGTAGTAGTAGTAGTAGTAGTAGTAGTAGTAGTAGTAGTAGTAGAAGTAGTAGTAGTAGTAGTAGTAGTAGTAGTAGTAGTAGTAGTGGTAGGGAGGTTCCACGCTGGTGGATATACTTGGTTGGGGAAAATCTTCGCAAGCCAATGGAGGTCGGCCCCAAATCTCGCCATTCAGAGGGGTACCGCCAAGATCCCGTGACAGAAATATGCACAACACTTGTGATCCCAATAGTTGGCGCGTCCAGAATCGGTAATCAATCAAAAATAGTTTTCAGGAAGTGCCAAATTAAGAATGATATGTCGGTTTTTATATTCAGCCATGGCACCATTAGATATATCAAGTATTGTATTCAACATTGGAATTTCGGACTTTAAAAACTGTGTTAATAGTTTTTGGAAGTAATGGGCTGCTGTCGTATTATGAAGAAGTTCGTCCGAGATTATCACACAATTTAGGGGCTTGAGAGGTTCAGTATCACTCGGTCGGTAACAGTAAAGAAAAGAGTGAATCGTGGCTTGAGTATAGTTCCAATGGACGTTTTGGATACTGTATTGCAATACAAAGGTCTAATTTTTGAAAAATTTATATTTAGAAATATTGTTACATCAACCAACCAATAAAATTTGATCTAGATATATAAAGTTCACACTTTCCCGCTTTATTTCTAAATTTGTACATTTCGAAATTCCGAGAGTGGAACAAAATGAGACTCATGTCATTCTTTTAAGCGCTCTTCTTCTATTCATTGAAAAAATTAAACAACATGGAGCTGTTTTTGAGATAATGTATTAAAAAATAGTAAAAAATACGGTGCTAGTCCCATTTTCGGTATACTCCGTATTTTCAAAGATTGCAAAAAGTTTACATTTCAAAACAACAAAATTGAAGATAGAGAGTTTTGCCTTAGACTGTCTTGTAAAAAATTAGCTCTTTAAAAAACGTCATGAACAATGTTTTGAAAACGCGAGTAGATTTCGCGTAATTTGTCTGAACTTAATGCAATTTCTAAAAGCGTTTTCTCTAAAATCACTTAAATTTTTGTAATGAAATTTTCTTCTCGTAGGCGACAAAGGATTGTTAAAAATATGGTGCTATTTCCATTTTCCGCGAACATACCTTTTTTTTCTTCAATTCCAAAAGTTAACACTTCAAAACTACTATATTGAAGATAGTGATTTTTACCTTCAACCTTATAAACTGGTGGTGCCACAGACTCTCCCGTATTAGTTTTCTATTTCCTTTGGTTTCGGTTAGATATACGAACTTGCCACGTACTCTTCATGGCAGCCTTCTACCGCCACCCAAAGTTCATTTTTTGAAATGTTATTTCTTCAGTTTTCTAATAATACAATGGAAATATTATTTTATGAATATTAATGAACAGAACGAAAGATACCCCGAAATAAACTTGACGTCATATTAAAGAGTGGAATTAGCACAATCCGTTCGAAAAGTTAGAAAAAAAATTGGAACTATTTTTGAGAAAATGGCATTTGGGCGTTGCTGAAAATGCGAAATTTTGAGCTAGATTTCATAGAAAACGGTTGAGCTTTCGACAAACGTTCTCTGACATTACTTAAAGCACATGTGTTCATAAACACAATAATGTGAAAAAAATGCTGCTAGTGTAAATATTAACGACGTGAGAGACAAGTCAAAAACATTACATCTTTGTAATTTTTGAAAAAACAAAAGAATAGAGCAAAATAGCGTTTATGTCATCTTATAGAGTGCATTTATCACTACCCCACCAAAAGTTTAAAGAAAACATATGAAGCTGTTTTTGACAAAATCTTGTTTTTGTAATTTTAAAAATTGCACATTTTGCTCGCAATATTGAGCGAAAACTGCTAAAATTTCCATAACAATGTACATGACCTTAATAAAAGAACTCACTACGGAGAACAAATTTAATTGAAGGAAAAATCTCTATCTTTAATTTTGTAGTTGTAGGAAGACGACCGAAAAATTTTGAAATTACGCAATTTTCGAAACTTCAGAGTTAAAACTGAGAATCGTACCTATGTCACCTTCATACGTGTATTTTAATCTATTTAGACAAGAAATTTAAAGAAAAAATTTGGTGCCGTTTTTGAAAAAAATTTGAAGATTTCCGGCTGGCTTCATGTAAAGTACTTCCAAATTTTAAAGACTTTTTTCAAAATTTCAAAGCTTCGAGTGTAGGCTTATGGAGAGAGGTTTCTTTAGTTTGGAATGAATTCTACTTATAGTTTAGGCGCTAGTGGTATTCACAGACGGACATACTGACGGACGGACGGATGTTTTTTAAACCTCTTTTTCGGTCTCAAGGGATCCCAAAACGTGTATTTCCGTTGAAATTTCAAAATCGTTATTCCACAGCACTTTCCCTACACTATTTATAATACTCCGTATATAGGTATATATACGAACAATTAGCTCTTTAAAAAAAAGCATGTACAATTTTTTTACACTAATAGATTTTGCATAATTTGTCTAAAATGTATGCTATTTCTAAAAAAGTCTCAAAAACAGCACTAATTTTTTTTATTAAATTTTCTCCTCTTATGTAACAAAAGACGGTAAAAATATGGCGCAGTCCTATTTTCGACAAACCCTCCGTTTTTTCTAAAATTGCCAAAATTACGTGTTTGAAACATTGAGTTGAGACAATTAAATATTTAAGTGTCTGCCGGAGTTCGAGACTCAGTGCATTTGTCTAGCGTACAGATAAGGGCCAGAGTTCGAGTCTCGGTGCGGAAGAAAATTTTGCTGGTTGAAAACAGTTTTGCATGTTTATGTAGTAGTATAATGTAGCAGAGCAGTTAGAAATAATGCGAGAAAATATGCGGGAAACCGTGTTCAACTTGCAAAGAATTGGAACTATATGTTATATGGAAAGATCTATTAGTATTCCAATAGTTGCTTCATTTTCATCCATTGATGAACTAGGCATTTTTAGGAAACGAAAAATGGCCGTTTCCACATTTTTTTTAATTTTATAGACCCATGTCGATAATAGGTTGTTTTTTCTTGGAAAAAGTTTTCATTCGTAAAAGGAAAGTCTCCCAAATATTTTTGGGAAAACTAACATTGGCCGGTAATTTTGAGTTTCTTCTTTAGTGCCTTCTTAAAAAGTGGTTAATTTATGCGGAAATGGAAATATCTGGAAATATTTCTACTCACAAAGAAACTTTGAAAATTTGAGTTAACGAGTGTTTAAAAGTAGGCGAAAGTGTTTTAAACAATCAAATACATTGAAAGATCGTGCGCGATCCGTGGCCCTTTTGGTAGGGTATTTGTTTAGCACTCTCCATCTGAGAAACCACGGAAAACTACCAATCAGAGCAGCCGACCGCTAGACTGATCATCCATACAGCGACTGAATTCGACCTAGGTCTGTATTTAGTGCCGAAAATCCTTCCACTGTCGTGAGTCGAACCTAGAAACTCCCGGCCACATGCACTACAGTGGCATCTGTCGATGCCCTGAGCCACTTCGCCGGGTGACTTCTGAGGATTTCGCTGGAAGCAGTTTCGGAAGCAAACGAGGTGTCGAAATTGTTTTGGGAATCGTATGATGATGCATTTTGCTGTTTTAGTCCCTTTGGGAGATCAACCACAATTCTCGAAATGTTAGCGGAAGAGACTTACAAATTTTACTTGATCTCGTACCTCTCTGTCATATTACTTAAATGCATTCTTTACAAAGTTTGCAGGCGGTTTGTTAGTATTTTTTTACGTTATTCTACATTACTTTAGTTTTCTTATTAGCGTTCAAGATGTCCTGATCATTTTTCATTATTTTTGCCTGTGCTATTAGTGTCCTTAATGTTTTTTCTTTCAGAAATACACTTGAAAACTGCGTAATACGTTATGGTATTTAGAAATAAAGTAATAAGTATGTTTGATTTTTTACGATGTAAATTTCATTTCTGGCCTTTTGAAACTGATTTGATGAATTCTATTTTGAAAGATTCAATATTTGGGAGAGCAAGTGCACAAT